CTTAAGCTGGATGGGAGACTAACTTGAGCCTAAAGAGCCCGAGTAATTCTCATGGACAAGCTTTGCTTCGAGGACCACGTCTATGGTAAAACATGCCTAATGTCAGCCCAATATCTCTAGACCCCGCCGCTTTCATAGTGCTTCTAGCAATGGTACTATGTCTATGAATTCTTATGCCCTATTCTCTTGTGCTGTGGTTCTACATGGAACATAATCAAAACAAGTATAACCAGAACATTTCTGATGTTGGCGCGCATGAGAATAGGGTATAAGAATTCATAGACTTAGTACCATGACTAGAAGCGGTATGGAAGCGGTGGGAACTAGAGATAGTGGGCTGACATTTGGCCTGTTTAACCATAGACGTGGTCCACGAAGCAAAGCTTGTCCATGAGAATTACTCGGGCTCTTTAGGCTCAAGTTAGTCTCCCATCCAGCTTAAGAATCCTGATTTTCAGGGGCCTACTCAGCGAGGCGGGTGTATGCGTACCATCAAAGGCTTGAGACAGTGTGGGAAATAACGCTTCGAGTAGTACAGATAGTGTGGCAGAGGTCGAGTGAAATACCTGAACCAGGAAGATAGGAAGCGGATCATACGGGGCAAAAGGGAGACTGATAATTCTAATGGGAAGAGGATTGCGGTGTGAGAGGTTGAGAAAGCCAATGTTGGATTTGGAGAGTTCTCCTGAAATCCGCTCAAAAGGTGACACCTTATCACACCTAAATAAGAAATTGTGATAGTGAATGGGTGATACAAGGATATAAGATTGGTGTATAGCCCAAAGCAGAAGGAGAGATGCCACAATTGTTTAGCAGACAAGTGGTCAAAGGATCGGCTTCACTTGTTTCTTTGACGAATTTTAGTGTGCTGCTGAGACTGGCAAAGCTCGCTGACCATGGCGGTGAAAGGTCTGGGAATGTACCGTGTCCATGGTCCGACTGAAAATTATCATTCATACTATGTGCTCCGGACTGGGTGCAGGTAGGAATTGAAAGGAAATGATTTGGGCTGAGTTGCATTTTTAGAGATACTACGAAAACTCAGCTACCTGTTCTTCATCACTTGAAGGAACTAGGATGAATACTTCCCATATAATTAATCTATTGGCAGTCCTAAAACATACTTATAAGCGAAAATCTATCCAGATCCCCCAGAGACACTTATTTTGTTAATAGCTGGGATAATACCATTTTTGTAAAGTCATTATTTGATCAAGCTCAACATCGCGACGCAGGGTTCCAGAAGAAGGACATTCAAAATGGAGATTGACTTCACTACAATTCCTGTCGAAGTTAATCTCACAAAAAGTGTATACTTAGTTCGACTGTAAATAGTCGAATCAGAATGAGCCAATCCTTTGAAATCTGATTTATTTTGATGTCTATAAACCTTTATGGCACATTTTATGCTGGTGAAGATGGGTTATCATGTCCATTCATATAGACCACGATTTAAGCTACAAATAACAAAACTTTCTTCGTAGAATCAGATGACATCGGAAAACAATGGTCTCCAACGGGTTCCCGCGATGAAGTATATGCTGATCTTTGGATGAGCAAGTGATTATTACATTTTTTAACATTACTATTATTAAATTAATATAAATTACACTACATTATATATATATATATATATATATGTTATGTAATGGAATCTAATTTGCCAGTCCTTCGTCGATGTCGATTGGCTACTTGACTTCATCGGTTTAACAAGCTGGACAAAACTATCGATAGCTCTTGATTGGAGCGTCCTAGTTGTGATCGTTCCCATTCAGCGAAACACCAATCTACTACGGAATACTAGTGCGACAGATCAGATAAAAGGTAGTTTGCTTCACAGATTAAGCCCAGTGGCAGAAATTTCAAGATGCATAAAAATAATTGACTGGTTTGGCATTATCACTAAAGCGAGGGTCTGGTTCTATTAACAAAATCAGTATTCTATTGAGTCGTGAATTTATCAAAATAGCAATAACTCCAGCTCAAGTATTCTGGTGATTTGTCGAGCACTTAAACAGTGGAGCATCAAGAGTTCTTGTTTAAAAATTGCTTATTTTACAAGCATGATTTGAAATTAACTTCCTTGGCAGGCTAAGTGCCTACTATGTGAGGTTTCTTGAAAACCTATTTATGAACGAAAAATAAATTCCTAGCGCCGGTTTGGTGGGCTCACCTCTCGGTTGGTCGCGTCTGATTGAAGGGCTATTGCGCACAGTCCTGTATCCAGATTCTCCATTTGTTTGTAAAGTTCATTAAACTGGCTGCTAGCCCATCTCAATTCTGTACCTATGACTCTCAGCTTCTCAGTTGCCACATCGCCTTGACCAGACATTTGCGCTAGCTTCTGTTCAAGGACCCCAAACTCAGCTGTCTTGAAATCCCGCTCCGTCTTGTGATAAAATTTAAATTAGGTACAAAGCTATCAAATCTGGACATACAAGAAGAGGTGAGCAATACACATAATAAAAAATAGGGTGAATTAATAATGTGTATGAAGTGTATTGTGTGTATGACCTGATGGATGATCTTTCCTCATGCTAATGATGGTATGGACAGACTTCGCTGGTGAATTTCACCATAACTCATGCCTAATCATCAAAAAAGGATTAGAGGTTTCACCTCGACTCGAGCAAACTAATAGATATTTGGAATCAGACATTGAGTATTAAATTGACTAAATTATGTGGTTAAAGTTGTATAAATATCAGGAAATGTGCATAACTAATTGGTAAACTTTGCACTTGTGATGAAGGTCAATGAAAAGAAAGTTAGAAAGGAAAGGGGGCGCTAGAGGGCGGTAAGCAGAAGAGTTTGCTGGAGTTAACTAACGTATGGATACCAACGAATGGGACCCTGCGAACGCAAAACGTGAATAGGTGACGCTGGTTCGAAGTTGACCCAGTGGCAAAGTCTCATTGCCTTTGCGAGACAAATGTAATCCTGAAAGTGCGAACTCAACGAAACGATCATTGAAAGGCTATGCTTGGGATTAAGGAGCTGGTTGAGCAAGGTCTTCCTTGTACGGATCTCCGACCAACTTGTACCATCGCAGATATGGCGAAGGAAAATAGTGGAGTACGAGAGTATGTGACACCTTAACATAGGCACGTGAAGATGGACGCATTTGACATCCAAGAGTATAGCAACTAGGTTGAAGATACAACACTATCACAATGAAAGCCCCCAAGCTGTAGATGAGACGAGCGTCGGTATCTTCTACTAGCGAGACCTGAGGCAAACCGCTGATAGAGAAGAGAGCATGGCAGGCAATGGTGCTGGAAGTACGGGTGCGCGGCGGGGAGTGCAGATGGCCACAAGAGCAACATGCCCCTTGAAAATTATCTTATTTCGGAGTCTTTCTTTGTTTAAAAATATTTGAGTGATCTAAATGTTGACTTCTGATTGGTTCTAAAAGGTTACAATTTAAGAGGTCCAGGGGTGGGCTCGATGTAGTGACGAATTATCATTGGTC